ATCCTGGGATACGTGACACCTTAGCTCAGAATAAATATGCTCTAAAGAGAGAGTGCAAATATGCCTTATGTTCATTTGTGAGTGAACCACACAAACAAACAAACACAACTGAAAGAGGTACCAACACATTAGTCAGGAGGGTCAGGGATTGTGTGTCAGCTATCCCCAAGAGTCCAAGTGACTGGTGTGTGGCCATCCGCCTGGGGTGCTCTTAGCAGTGGAAGCCTTAGAAGGCAAGGCCTAGTGGCAGGAAGTTAAGCCTTAGGGACAAGGCTGGTTTCCTTCCTTTCCTGCCTGACTACCATGACTTGTGCAGTGCCATCCCAATGCGTGCTCCATCATTTTCTGTCAGTGGGGTCGACTGACTGGGGAAGCTACTGAAACCACAAATGCATCTTATCTTTGCATCGATTCTTCTCAAGCATTTTGTCACAATGAAAAAAGCTGACTGACTAAAAACAAACTGTACAATATAAAAATGCGGATGTTACCAAAGGAAGAAAACAACAACAAAAAAAAGCCCAGTATAGATTTCTCTTTCTTAAACAGGTTTTTATTAGGACATAAAAGAAAACCTACATAAGTAGAAAGGCAGGCCATGTTTATAAATTGGATTCTCAATATTACAGAGAGGGCAAGGCCCTCCAAATTGACCAACTGGTGCTATGTTTGGCTTTATTTTGTCAGGAGCTGATGTGCTGGATTTCAAATCCATAAAGGAGTCTACAGGCCAGTGGTGTCAGAAAAGGTCAGATGAAGAGCTCTGCGTTGTGAGACATGGGCTTGTGAGGCACGGCCACACCAGCAGGCTGCTCCAGGGGAAACCTGACATCACCAACTGCAGGTGAAGCGTGAGGCACAGGCAGCCATGGGGCCAGGTTAGCAGTCTGAAAGACAGCAACGGCCGCTCAAGGAGGGGACACCCCTGTCCTTACCCTCCACTCAAGGAGGGGACACCCCTGTCCTTAGCCCTCCACTCAAGGAGGGGACACCCCTGTCCTTACCCTCTACTCAAGGAGGGGACACCCCTGTCCTTACCCTCCACTCAAGGAGGGGACACCCCTGTCCTTACCCTCCACTCAAGGAGGGGACACCCCTGTCCTTAGCCCTCCACTCAAGGAAGGGACACCCCTCTCCTTAGCCCTCCACTCAAGGAGGGGACACCCCTCTCCTTAGCCCTCCGCTCAAGGAGGGGACACCCCTCTCCTTAGCCCTCCACTCAAGGAGGGGACACCCCTCTCCTTAGCCCTCCACACACAGCAGCCATAGAGAAACTGCTGCCTAAGAGCCGGACACCTGAAACCTCCCCAACCTGTCAACAGGCAAAGGCCAGTTTACTTCAAGGAGGGCTTCAAAAGGGGCATGCCCACGCTCAACACCAAGCCCCAAAGCCACATCACCTACATAATTTCATATAATCAAATTTAGAAAAAAATAAAAAATTTTAAGGTAGATACTTGGGGCTAAAACTTGGCAGAAGATTAAGAATGTGCTTCACATGAAAATCAAGATTAGTGATAAGCACTTGGTGAGGTGGGAACAATTGAGGGACAGGGGGGGCTCTGGGATGCCCGCTACAGGTAACTGCTTCACCCGAGGCCATGACTGCACAGGCACTGGCTTCACAGAAATGCTTTAGACTCTGTATCTATGTGTTATCCCACTTTCTACGGATCGCACTTCACAATGCAAGACACTTTTAAAGATTTCTTTTTCATTCCATGTGTATACATGTTGTGCCTGCATGAATGTAGGTGCACCATGTGTGTGCCTGGTGCCTGCAGAGGCCAGGAGAGGAATCCGGATCCCCAGATCAGAAAAGGAGTCCCACAATGCAAGAAATTTTAAAGAAGGTTTTAGGGGAGATTTTTAGTAGGAAAGCAAAAACAAAACAAATAAACAAAAACCCACTGGAAATCTCAGAAAAAAAATCAAAGCAGCACACTATAGAATTCAGACCTCACTATGATCGGACAGACTGTCAATCAAGATGAATTTATAAAACAAATGTTAAAACCAGCAGGCCCAGCAGCTTCCAGTCTGTGAGGCAGAGGCAGGATGATCGTCATGCGTTGGGTTTCAAAAGAAGAAAGGAGAAAGTCAGCCACAGCGGCAGTAGAGAATGGTGAGACACTTGGAAACGAGTGGGCACTACAGGAGAGTACAGGGTTTAAATGGAGCACACAGAGCTGAGCTACAGCCTGGACAGGAAAAGCAATACCCAGGCATCATCGGGACGGCTAGTGCCGGGTTATTAAAGCCTGTATATTAGATGACAGTGTTAGCTGGGCAAGGTGGCACCCCTAACCTCAGCACTCGGGAGGCAGTATCAGATGATCTCTAAGCATTAGAGGCCAGCCTACTCTACATAGTGACTTCCAGGCTTGCTAGGGGCTACACAGTGAAACACTACCTCAAGAAACAAAACAAAAACACCTAAATAGACAACAGACAATACAGTACCAGCTGCATTCCCCACGTGTCACGAGCACACTGATTCCAGGAGTGACAAAGAGGAGGGTCTTTGTTCTGAGGAAACTGCAACTGAAGCAACTGAGAGCAAAGCAGCGTGCCTTCAGCTACTTGTAGGGTCAGGGTTAGCGTGAAGCTGAGGAGCAGACAGGGGCCTGCAGGGCAGAGCACGGACAGAGGGACTGAAGCAGAGGGCACATGAGAATTCTCCTGCTGCTTCTGAATCTCTCTCTCTCTCTCTCTCTCTCTCTCTCTCTCTCTCTCTCTCTCTCTCTCTCTCTCTCTCTCTCTCTCTCTCCTCTTCCTCTGCACCATGTTTAATTTAAAAAAACATCTTTTAGTGAGCTATAAACACAAACTTTCTACTTAAAATGTAAAGTAAGGAAAGAAAAACCAAAACCTCATTTTCACAGACACTAGGGCAATACACAGAAAACCAAAACCAAGGGATTCCATAGCAATGCAGTGAAGTTAGAATCAGCATAGCATCAAAAAGGAAACAATTTATTTCATTCTCTTCTACCACCTGTGATGCAATCCCTGACAGAGAGAGAGGCTTCCAGGTTATACAGAAAGTCTGTCTCAAAAAAGTTAATAAAGGACAACAACAAGATCAAGCCCACACACTTAGAATTAACCTGACCAGAGGGGCTGGGGAGACGGCTCGGTGGTTAAGAGCACTGACTGCTCTTCCAGATGGACCTGTGTTTAATTCCCAGCACCCACATGGCAGATACTACTGTCTATAGCTCCAGTTCCTGGAGACTGGACACCCTCACACAGATATACATGCAGGCAAAACATCAATGTACATAAAACAAAAGTAAATAAAAATAATTTATATATTAAAAAAAAAACCTGACAAGAGTCAGGACTCTGCAACAGGAAAATATGCTCTGTAGCTTCATAGTTGCATTAGTGTGTGTGCCCACGTGTTGGTGTGCACACGTGTGTGTTACACACACATGAGCACATATATAAAGTGAAGAAAAACTTAAAACACAAACAGGAGGCCTGGAAGAACCTCCTTCTTCAGTGACTGACTGGCAGATGGGAGCTGCCAACAGGAGTCTCATAGACTAGTTTTTCTTGTTTCTAGGGACTGCTGAGCCCCTGCAAAGCACGTGTGGGGTGAGACAGCGAGAAAAACAAGGCAATCTTAAAAGCAGTGTGTGATGTCATGCCTATGTGACTGCAGTGCAGTGACGGATAAGCCAGACTCCTTGAAGGCATCACAGGACATCGAGAAGACAGTGCCCCACCTCACACACTGTCCAGACAATAGCCATGACTCCAGGTGGACTGGAACCCCAAATGTAAACCCCAGCAGAGAACAGCTATGGCCCCGACAGGCAAACATTTCTTTATGTTGGTCTTGAGACAGGTTCTTGTAAACAGTCCAAACTATCCTTAGAGTTGATACTGTTCTTTATGCTGTTCTCCAGACAGGTTCTTGTAAGCAGTCCAAACTATCCTTAGAGTTGATACTGTTCTGTTTCAGCCTCAAGTACTGAGGTGAAATGTGAGCCACCACATCCCATGCAAACACTGTGTTCACACGGCATGAAAGCACTAGCCAGGAGAGATGAGGCAAGCAAGCTGTCAATCACACGTAGATGAAAGATGAGGACCACATCTCCCTGCTTCTAAAATGGGAGGATGCTCTCCCAGTTCTGTGACCTACGATGTAAAGGGTGGGCCCAAGCTTGACCTAAACGTCACCTCTAAGGTCAACCAAATAGATGACAGGGACAACCTGAGGGGCCCTTGGCTCTCTTGAAAGTGGTGCAGCCAGGGAAGACGGAAAGGGTAAGAAATGAGGGACCGAAAGGACCAGCTGTGCCAGATGGACAGTCAGGGACAAAGGCATTCCTGAATAGTTGGGGACAGAGGGTGGGAAGTGATGAGGCCAAGGGCAGAGCCAATGGACAGACAGGAAGGACAGGAATGAATGTGTGCAGGCGGTGCGTGCGTGTGTGCGTGTGTGCGTGCGTGCGTGCGTGCGTGCGTGCGTGTGTGTGTGTGTGTGTGTGTGTGTGTGTGTGCTTGGACAGCCTGAGTTCCCGCTTTCTTCAAGAAAGCAAACCAAGTTCATAGCTGAAAGCAACACAGACAGGTCAGTGCTGCCATGGAGTGACAGTGGAGAAAGGCAGGCAGGGTAGGGTGACAAGGAACGTGGCAGCACACAGTCTAGGCATGGTGTGCTGCGCCCTACGGTGCTCAGGGGGCAGCATGCTCCGCACCACTTCCTCCCTTGTCTGGCTGGCAGGAGCAACAAGCAGGGCTGGAGCAGCAGCTCAGTGAGAAGGAGCCTGTGCAGCAAACACCGGCTCTAGATTCGATCCCCAGCTCTACCACAATAACAACAACAACAACAAAAGACCAACAGGGAAAGCCCAGTAAGATGGGACTCTGCAGAGACAGAATGGAGGTGTCCTGGAGACCACTGTAACCCACCTTACCCATGAGTCCCCTGGAGCCTGTCATAGCAGCAGAAAGAAGGCTGGCAGGGTAAGGGCGCTGCTTACCGGCTGAAGACATTCTCGCTGAACGCGTGCTTTTCCAAGCGAGTGAGCAGGGGCAGGTTATCCTGGCCAGGGATGTCCAAGAAAGCGTGACCTTCCCGTTGTCACAGTCTGGACCACAATCTTCGAATCCATCTAGACAGGAAGAAGAAACACTCTAAAACTGTATCTGTAGGCACCACCAACAGGGATGGGTCAGTCACACTGAGGCAGACACGCCCTGTGACTGGGCTATCCACTGCAAGCTACTAGAAGCCATCCACAGTGGTGCCAACAGCTATGGAAATACAAAAGAGGGGTGGCAGGGACCAGTTGATGGGACACTGGTTCCCATTAACAACTATGGTAACCACTCATCTCTGAGGAAGTTCGCATCTCTCCTCCAGTGTGCTGAAAATGGTCAACTAAGAAACATGCTCACACCACAGACAAGCACCCAGCAGCAGGGTTACCTCATGCCCTGGCTGCGTAAGGACTACTCAGTAGTGGGTAGTCCCACCGGTCCACGCCCTGGCCTAGCAACATTCAAGAAGGCTCTCCCTACAGGTCCCCTAGTCCATCTGGGCTAAGAAGTGCGCTGAGGTTGCTGAGTTAGGGGCCCAGGAGCCAATGCACCTGAACAGAAGGGATCCCAGGACTCTCTCTGATTAGCTGTGTGAACAGAAGGGATCCCAGGACTCTCTCTGATTAGCTGTGTGAACAGAGGGGATCCCAGGACTCTCTCTGATAGGCTGTGTGAACTGAGGGATCCCAGGACTCTCTCTGATTAGCTGTGTGAACAGAAGAGATCCCAGGACTCTCTCTGATTAGCTGTGTGAACAGAAGGAATCCCAGGACTCTCTCTGATAGGCTGTGTGAACTGAGGGATCCCAGGACTCTCTCTGATTAGCTGTGTGAACAGAAGGGATCCCAGGACTCTCTCTGATTAGCTGTGTGAACTGAAGGGATCCCAGGACTCTCTCTGATTAGCTGTGTGAACAGAAGAGATCCCAGGACTCTCTCTGATTAGCTGTGTGAACAGAAGGGATCCCAGGACTCTCTCTGATTAGCTGTGTGAACAGAAGGGATCCCAGGACTCTCTCTGATTAGCTGTGTGAACAGAAGAGATCCCAGGACTTTCTCTGATTAGCTGTGTGAACAGAAGGGATCCCAGGACTCTCTCTGATTAGCTGTGTGAACAGAGGAGATCCCAGGACTCTCTCTGATTAGCTGTGTGAACAGAAGAGATCCCAGGACTCTCTCTGATTAGCTGTGTGAACAGAAGGGATCCCAGGACTCTCTCTTATTAGCTGTGTGAACTGAGGGCGTCACTGAGCCTCTTTGCATTTCTCATCCTCAAGTAAACCCACCTTGTGCAATCGGAATGGTGGCACATATGAGCTGTCCCACAGAAAGCCCCGTGAGATCTGTCCTCTAGTCCTGTGGCCTGCCCAAGCCCGACCTCAAGTCCTCATCCTTTAATCTGTGATGCCCATTGCTGGTTCTCCCACCTCCAAGACCTTCTACAGATACTGCTCCTGATCTCCTCTGGCTTGGCCCTTTAAGTCATGGCTAGTGCACAGCATCTTTAGAAGGCCTCTCCTGGCCACCGCCTCCCATGTCAAAGGATCCCACGGTGCCAACCTGGCTGACTGTTACAATATAGCTCTCTGCACAATGCAGAGAGGCCTTCAGCAACAGGCACTCTTTTGGGAAGGTGTCCATGCTCTCACTACTGAGTTCTCCACGCCCAACTAGATGGTGGTCCTTAACCTAGTGATGAGCAAATTCACTCTCTAGCCATGTATCTCTCTCTAAGTTAACACAATGTTTCCATAAAATCTTTCTATAAAATACACACTGAAGACTGATCACTAAGAGATGACTCTAGAATGGCAGTAGTAAGTAAAGCTTTTAGGTGGTCATAAAAATTAAAGTAATTTAATTTAGGGGTTGAAGAGGAGGCTTAGTCAGCAAAGTGCTTGCTGCCCAAGCATGAGGGCCTGAGTTCAATCCCCAGGACCCATAAAAAGCCAGGTGTGATGCAGTACACTGTAATCTCAATGGTAAGGTGGTAGAGGAAGGCAAATCCCAGGGACTCAATGGCTAGCCAGTGTTATGAAACACTTCTTTAATTATGTAAAGATGTGTTACATTTGTTTACATTGTTTTTTTTTAAACTGGGTAAAGATGCGTTGCATTTGTTTAAAGATGTATTTCTTTGGCTGCCTAAGGCACCTGACTGGTCTAACAAAAAGCCAAATAGTTAACAGCTAGGCAGTAAAGGGATAGACAGGGCTGGGGCAGAAAGAATAAGCAGAAGGAGGAATCTAGGCTCAAGGGAAGAGAGGAAAGAACCAGGGAGTGGAGGGGGAAATGAGGGAGAAAGAGAGCAAGACAGCTGGGGCGAGCCAGGTAGCTGCCACCAACCAGACAGGGAAGAAGCAGGAAAAGTAGGGCGTACAGAATGAAAGAAAGGTAAAAAGCCCAGAGGCAAAATGTAGATGGAGAAAAACAGGTTAAATTAAGTTATAAAAGCTAGTGGGGCAAGCATAAAATAAGGTCAAGCATTCATAATTAATAAGTCCCTGTCATGATTTGGGAGCTGGTGTGTGGCCCAAATGAAAGCCTATTACAAACCAGTCGATGCTACTTGTCCAATACTAATGGGACCAAGTCCAAAAAAACAAGGTGGACAGTTACTGAGGAATGACACCCAAGACAGACCTCTGGGCTCCACAGGCATGGACAAACACATGTATCCAAGAGTGCACACACACACACACACACACACACACACACACACACACACACACACACACGCCCGCAAACGCACACAAAATATTTACATCTTTTAAGCACCTTTGAAGAACCAGAGGTACAGAAGTACCTAGTAGGCATGACTCAGTTCTTTGTCTTTTGAGATAGGAGGTGTTACTGGATCCAGTAGTCAGTGAGCTCTGAGGTGCTGCCTGCATCCTTTCCCATCCCCACAAGGGCTCCAGATACATGTGACCACGCCTGGTCTTTGGGCATTGGGAATACAAACTCAGGTCCTCATGCTGTGTGGCAGCATTGTACTGATGGAGCCACCTTACCAACCTTTCTTGGCCTTCAATTTTTTCTTTTATTTTTCTTATTTAATATAATTTACCTTTTATGTTTTGTCTGCATGTATGCATGTGTGAGGGTGTTGGATCTCCTAGAACGGGAGTTACAGACAGGTGTGAGTTGCCATGTGGGGACAGGGAATTGAGTCAGGCAACTCTATAGTGATAGATTATTTGTGATTTATTAAAGCTTATCTGAGGATTCAGAAAGCAAAGTCAGCCACAAGCTATAGAAGCCAGGCACACACCTTTAATCCCAGCAGCCAGAAGCTAGGGGGTGGTGGTGCACACCAGTATCAGTATCTGGGTCTTTTATTTTTCATGTTACTGACCTCTGAAAGAGCAGTCAGTGCTCGAAACTTCTGAGCCATCCCTTCAGCCCCTAATTTTTTCTTTATTTCTGAGAATTTCATATTAATACACAAAAATATGACATCTATCCATTTTTCCTCCTTCAACTTCTCTCATATCCCTCCAACATGCTCTCCTCCTAACTTCTTATCTTTTAAAAAATTTTTTGGTAACTCACAAAGTTCACTGGTAACTATCTACATGTGAATGGGTGTGTAGGGTCAACCACTGGAGCATGGGGAAACTACCCATGTCCTTAATTTCCGTGCAAGAAGTGCTTTTACTATGGCTCCATCGTGGCATCTCTGCACCTATGTTTTTAGGCGCAAATCCTGATCCTCAGGAGAACGGACTGGAAAAGCAGGTGAGATCTCCTGGGTGATGTGGTCTGAAAAGACCCTGTGCCTAGACTAGGCATTGGCTCAGACTATGACACCAGTCTACAGACACATTTTATATATGGCAAGTACTGGTTGTTAAAATTCAGCTACTAGGCTGGAGAGGCAGCTTAGCAACTAAAAGCAACTACCACTCTTGCTGAGGTGATGCAAGAGTTTGACTCCAAGCATCCTTATCGGGTGGCTTACAACCAACTGTAACCCTAGCTCCAAAGTGGTCAGACGCCTCAGGCCTCTGCAGGCATCTGTACTCACATGCACACCCCCCAACACACACACACACACACACACACACACACACACACACACACACACTTTTAAAAATAAAAATAGAAATAAAACTTAACTTTTTTTCTTTAAATCCCTGCTACAGCTGACTTTCCCTGCTATGCAGCCATCCTGCTTCATCCTGCTGGAGAAGAGGGAATCTACTAAAAGGGTAAGGCAGGAAGGGAAGGGCCTGGGTTTGAAACCCAATTATCATGAGGACTCTCACTATTTCAAAGAATGTCTGGCCCCCAATCCCCTGCTGAACCTTTCTGTTTTGACCAAAAAGAAAAAAGATGAAGAAAGAAGCAACCGTGACCTCCCCTCCCGAGGCGGCTTTTGGCAAGAGACCTGCCTCCCTGGCTAGTTCTGGGAAGATCAATGGTACCGGCTCTAGAGGTGCCAATGTTCCCTGCTGCACTTTGCACTGAAAATTAGATGTCTGTGCCAGTTACACCACAGGTGTGAAGAGGCAGAAGAGTCCCACCTGGCAGACAGGAAGCCATGGCCAATTTAGGAGTAATTGATAAGAGTTTAAAATAGAGATGGCAAGCTGTGCTGCCTAGGTGCTCACTATTCTCTGAAATACTGGCCACAATTCTCTCAACTCTTTTAGTTATAAGCGAGACCTTATTAAAAATTCAAAGTGCTAACGGAATCTTAATAGAGTACACTGTATGCGTGTGTACATGCCAACTGTCATCCTCAATTGCTCTCCACCTTATTTTTGAGGCGGGTCTCTTGCTTAACCTAGAGTTCACTGATGCAGCTGCAACAGACAGGCAGCGAGGCCCAGGGAACCCCTGTTTCTGTTTACAGGGCTCTGGGATAATGGACGTGTGTTGCCATATCCAGATTTTGTGTGGGCGAGGGGGATGGGATTCAAGTCCTCACTCTTGCTAGACCAGCTTGGTTCATCTCTCTGGGCCCAAGTAGTGTACATTAGCTTAAGCGTAATTGTGTGTGTGGGGGGGGGAGAGGTGGGGTGGGGTGGGGTGGGGGATTAAAGTGCCATCTCCCCATAGGATGA